CTGACCCAGCTCTTCCCACAGAACATAGCCGGGAGTCACGAGGCTGTCTGTGGCTTCCCTGCGGCTCTCCACGGCTCTGTGGGCCGGCTCTGTGGGCAGGAATCTGCACTCCCAAGTATCACTAGTGCATGTGCAACAGGATAAGCCATGGCTAAGAGAAAATAAATATCGAATCTGGTCAGCCATGCCTGTCCCAAGTTTGGAGAGCCTCTGAATGAGGCAAGAACACAGGAGAAGTCACCTCCAGTCCTGGTTTTGCCCCTAACTTGCTGTGCAACCCTGGGTCACTTTTGCCTCTCTGAGCCTCCGTTTTCCCATCTGAAAAGTGAGCCTAGTGATTCCTGTCCCGCCTTAGCTCACGAGGTCGTTGTCAGAAGGAAATGAGGCAGGGCTCTTATCAAGGGTGGCAGTACAGCCTAGCAGATAAGCATGTGGACTCTTCAGCCAGACAGCCTGAGTGTGGCTCCACGGTTCCCTGTGTGACACTGTGCAAGTTACTTGACCTGTGACTGTTCCTCACCTTTAAAATGAAAGTAATAATTCCCCATAGCACTGCTAGAGGGTTAAATTTAATTATATGATGCATGAGAAAAGCTTAGAGAGTGCCTACATGCAGCATGTCCCGTGTGAGTGTGGCTGTCATTATTGTCAACATAGCAGTGTCATCCTTGTTGTTGTTATTGTTAGCTGTCGTCGAGTTGGTTCTGACTCATGGAGACCTTATGTATAACAGAACAGCATGTTGGCTGGTCCTGCCCCGTCTTCATGATCCTTGGTATGTTCAAATCCATTGGGTTGGCTGACAGTGTCATCATACCCCCATCATCCATTGCCATCAAGTCGATTCCAACTTATAGCCACCCTGTCAGACAGAGTAGAACTGCCCTATGGGATTTCCAAGGCTGTAATCTTTACGAAAGCAGATTGCCACATCTTTCTCCCAAGGAGAGGCTGGTGAGTTCAAGCTGCCGACCTTTCGGTTAACAGCCGACTGCTTAACCAATGCGCCACCAGGGCTCCTTTAGTGTAATCATACGCTTTATAATTTTACTCAATACACCCTCCCCCTTCCTGCAACATTCCATAATCTGCTTATTGCTTTTAGGAAGAATCCCAAAAGCCCTGCTAGGGCCTACACAAGATTGGTCATCTGGCCCTACTGCCTTTTCTCGCCTCATTTTGAGCTGTTTCCTGTCTTACTCAAATTCAACAGCCTCATTAGCCTTCATTTAGCTCAGAAGATCTGGGCAGAGATATTGGAACCCTCATACACTGCTAGTGGGTATGTAAAATGGTGCAGCCACTGTGAAAAACAGTTTGGCAATTCCTCAAAAAGTTAAACGTAGAATTACCATATCACTCAGCAGTTCTACTTCTGGGTAAATACCCAAAAGAATTGAAAACAGGGACTCAAACCCATGCTGGTGCATGAATGTTCACAGCAGCAGTATTCACCATAGCCAGATGGTAGAAACAGCCCAGTACCCATCAGTGGATGAATGGATAAACAGAACGTGTTTACAATGGAGTATCATTCAGCCATAAAGACCAGTGAAGTACTGATGCATGTTACGACAAGGATGAACCATAAAAACATCTTAAGTGAAAGAAACCAGTCATAAAAGATCATATGAAGTGTCCAGATAGGTAAATCCATAAAGACAGAAAGCAGATTAGTGGTTGACAGGGCCTGAGGGGAGGGAGAAATGGGGATTGACTGCTAATGGGTTCAGGGCCTCCTTTGGGGTGATAAAAATGTTTTGAGACGAGATAAATGTGGTGGTTGCATGACACTGTGAATGCACTAAATACCACTGAATTGTCACTTGAAAGTGGTTATTTTATGTTTGTGAATTTCACCTCAATAAAAGAAAAAGAAAAAAGATCTGGGCCTTTCCTACCCTGGGATCTTGGCAGTGCCACCCGTCCCCCACCCCACTTCTTTATCACATGACCTTCAGGTTTCAGCTTACCTAGCCTTTCCTCAGGGAAGCATTTCCTGACCTCTCAGATGAGGGCGGGCCCTCTGTCCTGCTCCTTTGGGCTCTTCACAATTAAAATTAAATAATAATTTGTGCTGTTACTAGCATGTCAGCTCCTTGGAAAAATGCTTCATCAGCTTTGTTCATTGCCAGGCCTAGCACAGAGCCTGGCACACAATAGACACTCAAGGAATGCATTTTAAATTAAAAATGCACGTGTTTGATAGCATTATTATCTACAGCTCCTATAAAATCCATGCAAGCAAGGACTGTTTCTCTTCTAAAAGGCTGTATCTCCGGCACATAGTAGGTCTTCAGTGGATGAACAAATTAATATTTGAATTGTTGTCGTTAGGCGCCATCAAGCCAGTTCTGACTCACAGCAACTCTGTGTACAACAGAACGAAACAATGCCCAGTCCTACACCATCCTCACAATCGTTGCTCTGTTTGAGCCCGTTGTTGTAGCCACTGTGTTAATCCATCTAGTCGAGGGTCTTCCTCTTTCTCGCTGATCCTCTAGTTTACCAAGCGTGATGTCCTTCGCCAGGGACTGGTCCCTCCTGATAACATGTCCAAAATATGTGATACGAAGTCTCCCCATCCTTGCTTCCAATGAGCATTCTGTCTGTACTTCTTCCAAGACAGATTTGTTTGTTCTTCTCACAGTCCATGGAATATTCAGTATTCTCTGTCAACACCATAATTCAAAGGCATCGGTTCTTCAGTCGTCCTTATTCATTATTTGAATAGTTAAATAAATGAATAAGTGACTTGAAATAACCTCCCTAACTTTCCACCACCTGAAAATTTCCGTAGACAGCAGGAGAGAGTATAGCTAACCATCCTCTTCCTCCGCTTCCAATGTGCTTTGCACTCAGATGCATCCTCTTGTTCCTCATCCCAGGCAGCTCTGCTCCTTAAATCCAGGCATGTAGGACTCAAGGCTTCCCAGTCTCCACTCAGGCAAGTGCTTAGTGTCAGCCATATTCTGAGAACATGACTTGCAAATGTCATTAGAGACATCAGTTTCACAACAAAGTCCAGTAGCAGAATACCACCCTTCAATAACATTTACCTTCTATATTCTAGTATACCAGTTGTGGTCGAGTCAACGCCAACTCATGGCAACCCCATGTTTGTCAGAGTAGAACTGGGCTTCATAGGGTTTTCAATGGCTGATTTTTCAGAAGTAGGTCTCCAGGTCTTTTTTCCAAGGCAACTCTGGGTGGACTCGAACCGCCAACCTTTCAGTTAGTAGTCCAGTGCATCTCCTAGTATAGGTAGTTATATTCACAGCTTGATTAAGGGGACAAAACCTATTCATCTTCATATCATCCACAGGTCCTACCACAGTTTTTTGTACAGAGCAGGTACCCAGTAAATGTTGAGTCATGACAGTGTGACTGCTGTATATTGAGTATAGTCATTTTCAGCCCTGTCCCTGGACCCAGAATCTGGGACACAGTAAAGTTCTTAAGGAACCTGAGATTAAAGCTTCTTAAGCCGTGACTATTAGCAGTGTCCTTACCAAGTACTTCTGAACAAAGACTTCCCTAAAGTTGTGACTTTCTCAGCCTTTATTGGGAGGTCAGTTAAAATAGTCATCATTGTCAAAAAAAAAAGCTCCTTAAGCTTTTTCCCCATCATTCATTACTGTAAGAGCAAAGATTTCCTACCTTGAGGCCCCCCTCTATCTCTAATCCAATTCACAGCAACAGCTGCTAAAACTTCCAAAATCATTTTGGTTTTTCTTCAAAAACTTCCAAAGATTTTTTTCACATCTTATAGAACTGTGTCCAGATCCTGCAGGCCAACACAAAGAACTTGGATCAAACTTCTTTCTATAGTGATCTTTTCAAATCCTACTTACATCCTACCCTGGACTATATCTCTTCTTTGCCTGACTCCCTGCCATTGCTCAGGCCATTCCTCCGAGCAGGAATGACTCTTCCCCATCTCTCTACCAAGGCTGAGCTCGAGTTCTGTATTCCCTGTGACCTGACCACATCACCCACCTGAGGGAACTCCCTGCCTTCAATATTATTTTAATGACATTTTTGCTTAGCAACTTCTTGCATTTGTCAGTGAACGTTTTACATGAATATAGCTTCTGGACTTAGACAAGAAGCTCCTTGAGGACCAGTCTGATATGTTCTTGTTTCATCTCAGTTGCTCTCAGTCTGTCTTAAGAGCTCAGTATCTATTAGTTCACTGATTCACTCAACTGCACGTATGGGGTCTGGGAACTGGTATTCAGGCAGAAGATCTTGAGTTCACTGCTAATGGATGTTAGAGCACAAAAAGATTTTTTTTTTTTTTAAATTACAAAAAGTTCTTTGCTATTACTCAGCCGTAAAGAGAAATGAAAGCCTGATAGATGCTACAGCATGGATGAACCTTGAAAACATTGCGCCATTGCTGGCAAGTCAATTCCAACTCATAGTTGACCCTATAGGACTGAGTAGAACTGCCCCATAAGATTTCTAAGGACCACCTGGTGGATTTGAACTGCCGACCTTTTGGTTAGGAGCTGAACTCTTAACCACTACACCACCAGGATTTCCTTGAAAACATTATGCTAAATGAAATAAGTCAGTCACAAAAGGACAAATATTGTATGATCCCACTTATATGAAATATCTAAGATAGGAAAGTGTAGAGAGATCAAAGTTTATTAGTGGTTACCAAAGGCAGGCGGGAGGGAGAGGGAAAGGAAAAACCCAATGCTTAGGGGACACTGAGCTTCTGTTAAGGGTGATGGAGATATTTGGGAACAGTTAGTGATGATGGTTGAACAACATGACACACGTATTTAATGTCACTGAACTGTACACATGAAGGTTGTTGAATTGGCAAATGTTTTGTTACCTATATATTTACCACAATTAAACAACAAAAGAAAGTTCTTTGCTTTTTTAGTGTCTCCCTATACCTGGTTGAGGGGCTGTAGGGATCACTGAATTTGACATTATAAATTTGTCTCACTCCTTTTAATCCAGTGACTTCCTTTTTACAGATGAGAAGCCCTTCAGAGTGGAAGATACTTATCTGCTGTGTCCAGCGCCTACCTTAAAAGAAGTTGGCATGTAAGTTTTCCCCAACAATTGTACCTCACTGCCAGGGAGGAAAGAAGAGGTAGAGGGAAGAAAGGGAAAGGAAAATGCCTGTCTCCATTGTCGTAATTGTATTTATAAGTTCACCTCCACAGCAAGCCTTTCTCTAGACCCCTCCAGGTAATGATGGTCACAGTGAGCCCAGCACCAGGATAAGCATTTTACAAAGAGTGTCTCGCTGCATCCTCCCAACTTCCCAAGGAACCAGATGCTCATGTTATTCCAGTTTTAGAGCTGAGGTCCCATGGGCAGAAATCTACAATCCCTGGTATTTCTAGCGCATGTGCAACAGGATAAGACAAGGCTGAGAGCATTTAAGTAGTTTACCCAAGGCAACACAACAGTAAGTGGCAGAGTCTGGCCTCAAACCAAGGTCTGCCTGGCTTGATCACTACTACATTTGTAGAAACTCCCCAAAGCACTCTCACACATGTTACCTCACCTTACCACCCTGGTGGATCTCTGATGGCGCAGTGGTTAAGAGCTCGGCTGCTAACGAAAGGTCAGCAGTTCGAATCCACCAGCCACTCCTTGGAAACCCTATGGGGCAGTTCTACTCTGTCCTATAGGGTCGCTATGAGTTGGAATCAACTCGATGGCAACGGGTGTGGGTTTTTTTGGCATCACCCTGGGATGCAACAGTTAAGCACTCAGCTGCTAACCGGAAGGTTAGCAGTTCAAACCCACCTAGTGGCTCCACAGGAGAAAGACCTGGCAATCTGTTCCATAAAGATTACAGCCAAGAAAACCCTATGGGGCAGTCCTACTCTGTCACCTGGGGTTGCTATAAGTTGGAATCGACTCCATGGCAACTAACAACAACATCATAGTTACCCGGCTAGGTGATGGTTATCCCCTATTAGGGATAAGAAAACTGGAGCTCAGAAAGGCTAAGTGGGTTCATGGCAGGCCCAGACCCCAGACTCAGACCTTTTGATTTCAAGTTCAACGCTCTTTCCTCCGTGCCTCCCCAGGCCATTGGATGTGCACTCACACAGGACTGGTTTCCCTCAACTAATTTACGGGGGAAATCTCATGGTGGTGCAATTATAATGAGTGCTACTGAGGTGTGATCAAAATCTTCAACAGAAGAAAGAGAATTGGCACCCTGAGCGGGAAAAGAAATGGGAAAACAGAGAGGCAAAGTTTGTGCAGAGAACAAAAACCAGCCCCTCCATAAAAGGTCTATAACAGGCTAAAGATAGAATGGCGGCCTTAAAGAAAATGTGTTACATTTGTTCATCTGAATTCTGCTTTCAGTCATTTACTGAAATTGTCAAACCTCCAACTGTGTCTGCCTAACATCAGCCTGTGATAGCACTGGTTCCACAAATGGGTCCTGTGTCCATATTGCAAATGCAAGCTAGGTGCAAGCTCATGGTGCAGTGAGCTTCGTATAGAGGGAGGGATGGAGGACAAATGAGCTCATCTGTGAGTTGGCTGGGTAGTACCAAAGCCACCCCCACCAGATCACTGGCTTATAGCCTGACCAGTTTATCCCCACTGAGCTGGCTCATTTTGTAAGAATACTTTGTCCTACTGTTGCATGTTCCCACTTGTATGAAATATCTAGAACAGGCAAGTGTATAGAGATCAAAGTCTGTTAGTGGTTACCAGGGGTAGGTAGAGGGAGGGGAAAAGGAAGACACAATGCTTAGGGGACACTGAGCTTCTGTTAAGGATGACAGAAAAATTTGGGAACAGTTAATGGTAGTGGTTGAACAACATGATGAACGTAATTAATCTCAGGGAGCAGCAAGTGTAAAGGCTGTAGAAATGGAAAATGTTTTTTTTACCTATATATTGACCACAGTAAAAATAATAATAAATTTCAAAATAAAGGAATACATTGTCCTATTATAATGTGACAAGTAAAAGGAGCAGGCTTTACCCATTCAGTGCAGTTTGCTGCAATGCAAGAAGGTCCGAATGCACTGCCTTGACAACCGCCAAGTGCATCCTGCCATCTCTCTACAGTGTTAGAGGTGGGTGGCCTTAGAGACCACCCCACATTTTACAATGGGGAAACTGAGGCCCCCAGGGGGAGTGGCTACATTCCTATGGACAGTTAGTTAGGAGCAGAGCCCGAAGGGGGCCTATGTCTCTGGCTGTCAGCCCATTGCTCATTGCATGCTATGCTGATATCTCTGGTTCCCTCGTTGTCATTGCAGGAAAGCCGCACTCCAGGTCAGCATGAACGATGGCCTCTCTTTCATCTCTAGTTCTGTCATCATCACGACCACACACTGTGTAAGTCATAACCTTTCCCTCTACTGAGGACCTCATTACCATTATCATCTTCAACAATATTTCTTAAACACCGTTCTTCTCTAAAGGTGTCTGGAAAGTTTTCCAGTTTGGTATTCTGTCCACTGAGCTTTTCTCCTGGCATTCCTAGGCCAGCAATGGGCCGGATCGGGGCTACTGTTTACCTGGAGTGTATAAGGAATGCCTGGGATGAACTCTTCCAACTTCCCCATTTATGTTATTGAGAGGAGTCTTGATGCACCAGCTTGACTAAATGGTGGGATGTGGCCAATTTCTGTGGAGTAGTGAGGGCAGATCCTTGGTTGGAGTGGGTATAAGAAAGAATGGGCAGAAGCGTTTATAGAAAGCACTTTTTCAGGGAGTTTTGGTAAAGGGAAGCAGGGAAAGGGGGCAGTAACTGGAGGAAAATGTGGAGTCTACAGTGGATTGTTTATTTAAGATGGGAGAAATTGCAGCTTGTGTATATGATTATGGAGATCATCCAGTAGAAAATGGAAAGTTGCCGAAGCAGGAGAGGGGAGAAGGGATCTATGCAATACAGATTGTGAGGCAGGAGTGAGGGCTGCATCCCCTCTATCAACTCCTCAGATGGCCCTTCTCTGGATCCTTTATGTCAGGTAGTTTTTTTTCTGTTAACACCTAAAATCACGTGCAGAGTTTTTTAAAAATGTTGATGCCTTGGCCTTATGCAAGACTAATTGAACCAAAACCTCTGGAGTGGGGTCCTAGGTTGTGTGGTTTCAAGGCCTGCTTAGAAGGTTCTGAGAACCACTACAGCCTACGAAGTCACCTGCTGTCAGTCTCTCAGGGCTCAGCCAGTCCAAGGTAGCCAGGGCATGGTTAGTTGGTATGCAGACCACAGCCCCTAACATTAGCATTTCCAAAATAATCTTTGGCTGAATATTCTGCTTCTGTCAGCTGTTGTATCTCTAGATCATTCTAGAGACTAATATGTTTGGCCTGATGGTCAGCTTAGGCAGGTATTATGGTCACTTCCTGGCTGGGCTTTGGAAAGCATGTCTGAAGACCCTCCTCAGTTATTAGGGTTGTGTTCTTAAAGCATTACAGGTGGACAAGAGATAGCAGGCATGCACTGAAGCCAGGTAAGATGAAAATGAATTATCTCATAAGAGAGGAGAAAACCAGTTCTCATGATGGGCAACAACCAACTTCCCCCCACCCGACTTTTCATCCTGTGATCGGAGCAAACCAGTTTCCTTGAAAAGGCAGGGTAAGCCAGTCCAATGGGTTCAGGACAGGTTTTACTAGGCCAAAGCAAGAGGCTAGGTTTGTCACAGAGAAGTGTCACCACTGAGGAATATCTAACTCTCAGGCATCCAGTTGACCCTCAGATCTGGAAACCTGCATGGGACATCACCAAATTTAAAAACTGTGTGCAGAACCAGTGAAATTTTTTCAAATATTCCCTGCCTGATTCTTTTAGGTAGTTATAACTTTGTTGACTCTTTTGGAACCTGCCAACTTGCAGGAAATGATTAAAATACCCCAAATCTATTAACTCCATTCCAGATTCCTCCCAGCTTTTTGAATGATCCAACAATTTGGACCTGTAGTTCTCATTATGTCTGACCACACCACAGAGAATCAGACACAGCCCTTGGGGCTGCAAGGGCAGGGGAAATGGGAAGGGAAAACATTTCAGGCCTGTGGTATGGCACATACAGGGCTATAAATTTAAACCCTGGACCTCTAAGTCAGGAAGAAAGGGTGTCTTTACTGATGCATTGCAAAATGAAAAGAAGTTCTACTACATCTTCCTGACTCATTCCAGCCTCCAATTATATCTTCAGTACATGTCACTGAGTTTTCTGTTCAGTTGACCCTTGATTAACACCACCTCATAAATTCTGTAGTATTCCTCTTTTCACTTGAAAATGCTGTATGTCAACAACAAAATTATAACCACCCTAAGATTTGAGACCCAGGCCCATTCATTCAGTCAACAAATATTCACTGATCATGCACAATGTAGTAGGTACTGTCCTGCGTGCTTAGGTTACATCAGAGAACAAAGCAGACAAAAATATCTATTGTGGGGAGAGGGGCTAAGGGAGAAGCAGACACAACAAATAACCTTAATAAATAAATATATACTATGTTAAAAGGTAATGCATGCTATAGAAAAAAATAATAGAGTAAGAGGGTTTGAGACTACTTGGGTGAGTGGATTCTAATTTTAAACAGAGTAACATACATTGAGAAGGTCACGTTGGAATAGAGACTTGAATAGTGAGGAAGTTGACCATGACGCTACTGGAGGGAGAACTTTCTAAATAGACAGCCCTGATACTAAGACCCTAAGGCCAGAGATACCTGGTGTGTTCAAGGTAGATCAAGAAGGCCATTGGTCACTGGAAGAGAGCGAGTGAGGAGATCAATAAGCAGCAAGGTAACAGAGGGTGGAGGGTGTTAGGCTCTTGTAAGGACTTTGGCTTTTGAGCAGAGGGATGATATGAGCTAGCTTACATTTGAAGATCATTGTGGGTGTTGGAACAGCCCATGGAGAGACAAGAAAAGAAGTAACAAGACCAGTTAGGAGACATACAGCAATATTTCAGGCAAAAGGTGATGGTAGCTTGAATCAGGAAGAAGCAATAGAGGTGGAGAGAAATGGTCAGAGTTGGATATATTTTGAAGGTAGAGCTCATGTAACATATTTCCAGAAGCACTGGATGTGGGCTTAAGAGAAGGAAAGGAATCAAGGATGGCCCTAGAAGTTTTGACCTAAGTAACTGAAAGGATGGCATTGCTATCAGCTGACAGGAGGAAGACTGCAAGTGGAAAAGATTTAGGGAAGGATGGGGAAAGTCAAGAGGTAGATTTTGCTATTTACTAGTTGTATGACCTTGACCAATTTATTTAGCCCCTTTGTGCCTCAGTTTCCTAATCGGTAAAATGAGGATAATAATAGCTCACATCTCTTTTTAGTATTGTGAACATTAAATAAAATGATATGTATAAAGTGCTTAGCAGAGGGTCTGGCAGGTAGTAAGCACACAGTAAATGTTAGCTGTTATTATAGTGGAAGCTTAATCGAAATTATTGAACTAATTGGAAAAACTCTACCCAGAGTGTTGGCTCCCCTTTCAGAGTCCCATTATAACAAAGGGGCCCTTCTAAGACAACAAGTGTCCTTAGGAGTACATGGGTAGTCACTCAGCCAAGCCTAGGTGATTGAAAGGGGCAGACAAGATGGCCAAAATCACCCAAGGAAAAGGACCAGTATTCAAACATAAAATGCCAATCCTCAACCGGGCTCAATGCAGAAGCTCAAAATATTCACGTCGATGGGCAAAATAGAGATGCAGGTGGAATGGATGGTTATCCAGAATATAAAGTAAGTTTTGGACTTGCGTTTGTTTCTTGGGCAGCTGGTTTGGAGGACAAGGTTTTTAGATCAAAAAATGATCCCTGAGTCTGAATAAAGGGTTATTCTACTGAATGCCAGTCGAAGTCTGCCCAGTCCTTCACCAGAACCTGAAAATAATTTAAAATATGTAGCTAAGACTTTTCTTTTCTTGGTTTATTTGGTGCCCATTTGGACAACTGTGTCACAAATTTTCAAGATCCACAGCGAATAATGTCGCAGCTGCCAGAAGCAGAAATTCCATGAAGTTTTACAGAAAAGAGATTTTCCCATCCAAGAGCTAAAAGATTCCTATACAAATGGTAAACATTGTTGATCTCCATGACTATAGAAAATAGCCAGACATCCAAAGTACTCTCACAAGCATATTTCAATACACCCCATCTCTTTCATTTTAACTGTCCTTTTTCTTCCAACCTCTAGCAATAGATTGGAAAGAAGTTTGCCTTTTTGAGAACAAAGTAAGCATATTTAAGTACCTTAAAGAACTTTTCATAGAAGTGTCTTCTTTTAGATAAACATCTTAAAATTCTATAATTCCCCACCCAAAGTATGCAAATATCAAGAATCATTATTGATTGTATTGAGCTGTGTCTCCTCTGCTCCGTTTTCATGTTACAAAGTCACTGCCTTTAAGGAGATTATAATCCTGTTGGAGAAATGAGTCCAACAAAAACATGCAAGAATACATGATAAAGAACAAGATCGTGTGAGTTGAGTAGAAATGCTACAGGGCTTCAGAGAAGGGAAAAATGAGTGAAGATTGGAAGAGTCAGGAGGGCTTCATGAAGGAAGTATAGCCTGAGGGATTATTTGAAAATGTTAATTATCTGAAAAGGTGAAGAAGCAGGAAGAGGTCGTCTGCCAGAGAGAAACCAACCTGAGCAAGGGCTAGATATGTCTACAAGCATAATTTGTTATGATCTCTTTTAGCACGGAGGCTTAAAGCTCTGGCCCTTAGTCCATAGGTTGTGAAAATTCTGAAAATGTGCTAATGCATTTACATTTGCTTCCTTGTTCATCTCCTGGATTTATATATGAAATCCACTATGTATCTGTCTTCTATTTAATTATTCCCTGCTTCTACCTTAATTCTTTCCTTCCTTTTACTTAACTAGGTATTTTTGTTATTCTTTTTTCTTTTCTACCTTCTTGAGTTGGAAGTTTATGTCATTTATTTTCATTCCTTCGGAACCACTCTAGGCTCTGAATTTTCCCAGGAGTATAGCTTTGGCTGCATTATATACACTTGTATATTTAATATACAGAAATATTATAATTAATTTCTAAATACTCTATAATGATAGCTTAGTTTTCAATTTTGACAATTCCTTTTATATCATGAACTCTGTATTCCTCTCATTTGGTAGAAGTGTAGCTTTCAAGTACTTATCCAAAAAGATACATGGGTGATATATTTTCTGAGCCCTTACAAATTTAGAAATGTGTTTCTGACTCCTTTTGCTCCTCCATGAAACCTGCACAGTTCCTCTGGGCTTCATGCCACTTTCCCTTCTCTGAAATCCTACAGCTGGGCATTAAGTTCTTCAGCTACAATTAATTACATCCCAAAATCCTATAGGTATTGCTTAGC